TACGCTGAAGCTGTATATATATTCACCCCAGGGCCACTGTGGCGTGAAAATGCCGAATGAATTAAAATTTTTATTAAAATCGATTTTCTTCTCTAGATAACCTTCTCCAAATTGCCAATTCATCTAGTATAATATAGGGAGTACAAGGTTGGGGATAATACCAATCCCCAGGGTATCCACTCGTACAAAATTCGACAGTCCGACAAGTAGTCTTGTATGATTTTCAAGTCTGTCTGACGATTCCTTTGTGCTTAGCTTATAAATTAAGCCATTATGTCGGACTTCGTCCAATGCCTTCTTGACATCACGTCGAACACAACTAAAGCTACACGACAATTCGGCAGTGTGATTTAAGAAAATGTGATCTAGGAGGTGTGCTTGAAGAATGCTCGAGCCGTAAAGATGAACTGCTTGCCGGGAATAATTTTATTAATCCGTGCTAGGATAATGTGCTCGTAAAATGTTCTTCATAGTGAAGAGAAAACTAAACATCGTGGGTTGGTAATGTGATGTGAAAACAAATAATGGCCGATGCATTCGTGCACTTCCTTAAATGTATCGAGGAAGGTGCAGCGGAGGAGAGCATTAAATATAGCAGTTTAGGACACAAGTCTCCTTGATAATAAACGTAAGCTTACTGAAAGCCGAGTGTTCGAGAGGAGGGTCTGGTGATGAATTGGACTGTTGAATCTTGATAAGAAAAATATTAAATAATACCCTTTTTTAAATTATCAATATATATCTTTATAAACTGATTATATGAAAAAGAACTATTTTGTGTCTCAATAAAAATAAATCGTCAATTAATATAATGTAAGGTACAACACTATAGAAAACTGAAGGATACTGCTTCTTCCGGTCACCATCTTTTCGGTTTCTCTTGTTGTCGTTGTCAGATCGGCGAACTTTCTTTGAAGCCGTAACCATGGGTCGTATGCACGCACCTGGGTAATTCCTTTAGTATTTTATTTGCAAATAAGTCGTTTTATTCAATATAAGACAGTAATGTTTTCTCGCCTTCAATGCCGATGTGTGACAGTATAACCTACAAAGGTTTCTGGTGAACCACATGGCGTCTCCTTAAAGTGTGATTTTGTGTGTTCCAGTAAGGGTATTTCCCAGTCGGCGTTGCCGTATCGCCGCAGTGTCCCCACATGGTTAAAACTGACTGCTGATGATGTTAAGGAACAAATTTTCAAACTTGGCAAAAAGGGTCTCACACCCTCTCAAATCGGTGCGTACTTATCGATACATGTTATTATGTTATATATATTCTAATGTAAGATAGGAACAATGTATCTGTAATTTCTTACACATTAATTAAGATGCTTATATTCCAGGATATAGTCTTTGAGAGATTATTTATTTTTTATTTCTATATTTCGGAATGAAGTATAATCTCCATGTACATAGATAAGTAGACAATTGATATGATATTACTAGATTCTTATGGTTATTACTACCAAAAATAATATTTCCACTTTATCATTTGCATATTTTGGCTTAGAATATTTTATTGAATACTACTGGTGTGTATTCTTAATGTGGAACATTTATTAAATGTTTTTGATAATTTTCTGTGATAATACAACTCTAGACAAATAGAACTAGATAGTAACATGAAGAACTACATAATAACAAATGGTGGTCCCCTTAATTTAGTATCTTATTCACGTATCTCATAAGCTATGTTTCTATTAAGCATTTTGTGAAATATAAATTGAAAGCTTTCTTCCAAAAATGCAAATGACTGGATGAATTATACTATTAAGTTCTCCCTACTGACAGGCAGTAGATTATTGATTTTTATGGTAGTAAATTGTCAGACATAAAATGGTTTTTAATAAAATACAGTGGACCACCGGCAATCCCCACCCCCTCTAATCAGACATGCTTATTACTGTTGAATGTAGCTGAATTTTGTCATGCAACATCAATGGATTGGTTCATATTATTATGATTTTTATCCATAGCTTTTGATTATTTTAGTATTTACATTTGTTTGTATACAATTATTTCCTAATGTTTAAAGTTCCTAAAGTTTAGGTATTTTTAGAGATCCATATTTTAAGTTCTATAGCATTAATTTTATAATAAAATGTAAGCTCTATTGTATTTTTTAATTTATTATTAGACACATAATTATGTAGTATGATTTGTCTTTCATATTGAATTTTATAATTTTGTTCTATAATTTCTCAGATTCAGGACTCTGGTATGAGGTTTATGATTAGAAGACACTTTTTTTGTTGTTTAATATACTGGTAGCTTTAAACATAATAAGTAAGATAAAACCTAGATTTTAAGTTCTTGCAAATGTTAAATGTTTAGTCTTCAGATAGGATCAGGATAGTCATAGAAAGGTTTAAATTAAACCTTTATCAATTGCATTTAATGTGTTTTTCACATACAAAGAGTACTGGCGCAGACAATAAAATTTTTGGCTATTTCATGCTAATGAAGTAGGTATAACTTCTTGCATTTGTAAATAAGTAATATAACATTATTAATAATACATTTGTAAATAAATAATGGGGCCTAATGAATCTGTAGTGGTAGTTATGCGATATATTACATTTAGCTCTAAGTTTTGCAAAACTATCTTATTTCAGGTGTCATGCTCAGGGATTCGCATGGTGTCGCCCAAGTCAGATTCGTCACTGGCAAAAAGATCCTGCGTATCATGAAAGCAATGGGCCTTGCTCCCGATCTACCTGAGGACTTATACTACCTGATCAAGAAGGCCGTGGCCATGAGGAAGCACTTGGAAAGGAACAGGAAGGACAAGGACAGCAAATTCAGGCTGATTCTTGTTGAGTCCAGAATCCACAGGCTGGCCCGTTACTACAAAACAAAGAGTGTGCTACCCCCCAATTGGAAGTACGAGTCCAGCACCGCATCCGCTTTGGTGGCTTAAGTTTAAATAAACTATATAAAATTAATGGCATTGTTTCATTTAATTTTATATTTTTTAATTTTTTGTTAAAGAAATTTAAATTTCATGTGCAAAAGCCCAGAAGTTATAATCATTCATTGAGTGAAAATCATTAACATGCATTGATCCAGGGATCATATTAGAATTTTCAACTCTACTACACAGAATTTATCATTTAAAGTGGTCTAAAGTAACTTAATAGCCAATGCATATTTTCGACTGTAAAAGCCTCCTCTGTAGTATCTGTAGTACTGAGATTATAAGGACATAATCTACCATTCGCATTTCGAACCCACAGCGAATTAACTGACATCAAATCCCTGGGAGTCTACTTTTTAACAAATATATTTTTTTCTTACAAATACTTTTTTGCATAACTATAATAACACTATTTTCAGAGTCAAAACTTGTACAACTTACACAATTTCATAAACTGTCTTTCAGTAACATGCTTGGCAATTTAACTTAGATGTCTCGTCCCATAAGGGTTAAACTTTTATTTGATTCTGACAATTGTATGCACCAATATATTTCAACAAAATTAACAGCTCCTACAAATTTTGACATTTACATGGCCATGGCAAACTTGCTTATCATTATACATTTACGAAATTTGAAACCGATCTGGTCAGCGGACTATTAAATATATATATGCCTTTAATTCAATGTACTCGAGCAACCTGAGTCGATCCCCGCTGCCGGCACCAATGAAATTGTTAATTTTAAGTGCCGAATTATCGCGTGCTCAGCGGTGAAGGAAAACATCGTGAGGAAACCTCCATATTTTCGAAAAAATAATATTTCCAAGATATCTGAAATCCGCAGTGGGGCCGCGTGGTGTACTATGCCCTGATAACCTCTGTACAGAGGAGACCTTTGCCCAGCAGTGGGACATATATAGGCTGATACTTTACTTTTTACTTATACAGTACCGTCCTGCCAACTAACTTTCGTCTACCTGCCTTATATCTAATTGCCACAAAAAATATTTAAAGTATAATAGTATTAATAGATTACAATTTCTTGAATTTTCTCATGGGAAAAAATGTCAAACGTGCTGGCGTTTCACCTGATGTTAAGTGATAACTGGCGCCCACGGACCTTTGCAACACGGGTTGCGGATGTGTTGCCACCTTTTAATGAGGTGGGCCACGGCTACCTCACTCACCAGACGAAACGCAGAAGTGTAAGACTTCTACTTCACGCCGATCTTCTTCACAGAAGACCTCACGGTCGTGGTACTAACCCTACTACTGACGGACGTGCCCATTCGTGCAACAGCGAATACTGTTGCGTGGTCCTACCACAATTGTATTTGCGCGATTACACATTATTAAACAGATGTAATAATATCCGGTTGCGTCGTTGCTAAAAAACATAGCCAAAACCGCTTTCAACATGATTCACATGTCGCGCCGACCCCATCTAGGTGGGATAAGGGCAGAAGGATGATGAGATGAAATAAAACACAAGAATACATATAACATATTATTATAATATTATTCACGTAGGTGTAATAGATATAACAAAAAGATAAATATTATTGAAGCGATTGAATGTACTCATAAATATTTTGATATCCGGCAATAGAATATGTCAAGTCCACGGTTAAAATAATTACCTTACCTGTTACGTTAATTCATCAAAGAATCGCTTGAGTCTCGAGAGCACGGAAATAAATGATGCGTTAAAATCAATCTGTACAAAATCCATTTTTCCAAAGCCTTATCTTTTAAATAGAAATAATAATAACTACAGCTATGTTGATTAACCCTTATTTTTTTATTGCGTCGTTTTACTAGCGGCAAATGGTATTTCAATATTTCTATTCGAGTGTCGTGAAATCAACAAAAAGCACAAGGTCATACAGGAAGAAAATACATTTATTTATTAAATGTATTTTCTTTCTTTCTTTCTTAAAACAGACTTTCATTATTTAAATCTGGATTAGGAGTAAAAGCGGCAGTTGAACATACTATAAAAATACATCGAGTTACAAAGAGGTGCAGTAGGGTTGCCAATCACTATATTTTGCACGTTAAAAATGCGCGGAGTGGAGCGCCTAGAGCTTGCGCCTCGCGCGCGGCCGCTGGTAGGAGGGGCGCAGCACCCGCACGCGCGGCTGCTCCGCGCTGGCGCCGCACCCCTCCGCGCCCCCCGACCCCTCCGCCCCTTCAGCCCCCTCCGCGCCCTCCTCCAGCGGCTCTGCGCGCGGCGTGAACAGCTTCCGCCGGCTGCGCGTCACGCTGCGCCAATTTCGCCATTCTCTCATAAACGATCAAATTCAATAAGAAAGCGTTACACTCAATTCCAAAATACCTCTATTCAAAAGTAAGCCAAAACCAGTTCGAAAGGTACTTTCTGTTGAGAACAGAGAACTCAACATTTGCTCTTTTTTTTATAAAATATCAGAATACAATATGACGTAGGTATAATATAATCACTAATTGATCGAAAAATAACTATGTATGAATGAATGACCACTTTTATTGTCCACCACAAATTAAAGGGTACACAAAATGAACAATAAATAAACAAATTCATCCAATGTATAATTTGGCGTTCATATTGCTTCATAGCAATCTCTTCCAGGCAAATAACGGTGTAAAGGAACATACTATTAAAACTACAAAATAAATGGGCTGTTCTATGCTAGATTATTCATATATGTTTTTATTGTTTTTAAAGAAACATTGCCCTTAAGGACGTTTTACAAACGGACGTTTCACGCGAACCTACACCCAGATGCGAAACATCTATGGGTCACACAAACAGTTGTCCCGCGTGGGAATCGAACCCACGACCCCGTCGCCGAAGCCAATACCTTACAAACAGCGCCACTGAGTCATCTAGTCATATTACGCGAATCGTTTTGAAATCATCGCGATCCCATTGAAAGTAGCTTTAGGATAGGAGCGTCACCTTTTAGAGGGGCAGCTCTGTGTCGCTTCCATCGGCGGCACGTTCTCCGTCTCCACTCGTTTCTCGGGCGAGGCGATGTCTCTCGCCTGCCTCTGGGGCGCGGGCAGGTCCATCGTGACGTCGGAGAACTGCGTCTGGAGATTAGCGATGTCCTTCAGCTTCTCGCCCCGCTCCCGTTCCGCTTCGCTCTCCTGCTGCCTTCTCCTCCGCAGCCGCTGGTTCCTCTTACTCTTCGCGGCGCTCTCGCATTTCGCCTGGCTCTCCTTCAGGATCTCTATGACGTAGTGTTCGTCGATCTCCCTCTTTGTGTAGTTCTCCTCCGATTCGGACTTCTTCAGCGTCTTCTTGCGCAGATTGTATTTCCTGTCGGCGGCTCCTTGGACGTCCGTTGCGGTAGTATCGCCATTGCTATTGGAACTGTTTATCTCTTGTGTCACCAGCAAATCGAAGTCCGTCGCCCTAGCTTCAGATACGTCCTTATAAATGTTCTCGAACTCCTCCAAAGTGTTGTCCACTTTAGGCTCCGCTTGTTGATTAGACGAGTCTATGGTTGATCCTGAAAAAATTTCCCTTTCAACCGGCTTTTCAATTGATACAGGCTCGTTAAGTTCTACTTTAGAATTGACATCCACGTTATCCGCTTTATCGTCTAAAACAATATTGTTGATGGATTTCCGAATGTTCTCAACTTCATTCGTATCGGTTGCAGTTCGCGGCGAATCGAAACATTCGAAAACGTCGACAGAGTCGTTTTTCTTCTTCAGTAGACCCGTTTTGTTTACGATCGATATGGGATCTGGTTGCCGTGTGAAACTCTCCCCAAACAGTTTCATCGTACTAGGCTCATAGTCTAATCCGGTGTCTTCTTTTACGATCGACGGCGATCTGAACTCGTCACACTTCAGATTGGCCATACATTTGACATCGGATATTCTGTCCTTCTTTCCACTTTCAACGATGGGATCTAAATTGTCGAAGTACACTTTCTTCTCTTTCCCCGACTCGTTGATGACGCGATCAATTGAAGGTGCACTAGTGCCGTTGTCGTCGAAATATGTCTTTTTCTCTTTAACAATTTCAATTTTCAACAAGCCGTCGGAAGTTTTTCTTCTTGCCCGATGGTCCATTTCGTTCGCTGCCATTTCCAATTGTTCAAACTGCGCCAAAGAAGCGTTCGAATTGTGTGATTCAGATGTCGACTTCAACGATTTAATTATTTTATTCACTAACGTCTCCGACACATTAAGCGGAATATTTACACTTTCAGATCCTTCTCTCAACTCTGCTACGCTCTCTTTTCCATTAGCATCCTCTCGACCGATGGCGCTCTGTTCTTCCCCATTTTGAGCCTCATCTCGGTCCCTATTCGTGATATCTAGTTCCGCACTGTCCGACCGTCCCGTCTTGCTGTCATCTTGGGACCTCCTGACGAAATACGTTCCGCGCATCATCATCTGCGACACGCACTTCTCCTCGACCGCGTCACTCGAACTGATCACCGTCTCGCCGCTAACCAGCTCTCCATCATCAGCGTCAAATCCATCACTAGGTTCTTGGAAACCCGCGTCGTCTACCGTGTTCCCCGTATCTTCTATTGCTTCTTCCAATTCATCATCAGCCGCGCCACCAGCGCTCTCCTCGTGATTAACGCGCGACTCCTCGTCCAGACCGGCGACGGACCTGTCTTCGTCGAGCAGAGTGTCGTCAGATTTCTCCAACTCGAGGGTGTCGTTGACTTTCTCTGCGGTGCAATCGTCGATTCCATCCGAGAGGCTGTCCTCAGAAGCGCTGTCCGGGGCAGGAGGGGCCTTCGCCAGGCTCTGCCTCATCAGCCGCGACCTGTTGATGTCCTCCCTCTTGAAGGTCGGCTCGAGGCTCTCGTTGCGTGCATCCTCCGATTCCTCGGTGTCGCTGCCGTCTTCGCTGTCGGTGAGGGACATAACCTCCTCGTCGCCCATCTGGGAGTCTTTGTACGCTTTCTCTGGAAGATAAAAAATCAATATCATATTAATGTGCTATTAATTGGGGATTTTTGAACAATAAAACAATAGATACCTCTTAATGTTTCTTTAAGACCTGTCATGGATTGTATAGAATACCTTGTGTTTGAGTTAAGGACTGTACAATGAAAGTAAAGTATAAACATTTCATCTTGAGAACCACTACATATTATATGCTTGTACTAATTATCCAAGAGAGAAAACATACATTTGGGGATAAAGTTAAATAAATCAATAGGATATAACTAAATGTTATTCAACTTTATAGAGCTATTCTCTGACCATAACATGAAATTTTAAATTTTTAGAAAAGTACCTTCTCAGTAAACAGGCTTATGTGCTAGTGGGATTCCCCATGAGGCGTTCATGCAGTCAAGTTTTGACAACTCCGTAATAATAAAAATCCGTTATTTTGTGTCATACTCGAAAAAACGACGTACCGTCTCTCTCCTCTATGCACACTCGCAAATGTTGTAACTCCTCTTCGGCCCTGGCCCGAGCTAACACCTCCGCAGTCAGTTTCTCCTACAACGGAGAATTATCTTGATTATTCACCTATTAGATTTATCACAGAAACAAATGCGAAACGCGAACAGCAAGATAAGTTTTTTTATTCATTCTCAAGAAGAAATACATTCAAACTCAAGAAGATAATACACTCTTGATTAAACTCACCTCAAGGATAGCTATCTCCCTCATTAGCTGGGCTATCTGAAAATTTAAAGTTTTGAAGGAGGTATTATTGGTTGCATTGAATAGTAAAAACTCATATATTCATTTTAAAGTTTTTTATAGTGCTAATCTCTGCACTTAAGATTGAACATTTGCCGAAGACGTGGGTTCGATTCCCACAGCAGCGGCAATCTTTTCGTACTTTTTCTACATGTTTTAAAACTCATTCAAAGTACAATTTAATTGTATAAGTTCAAAGTACAATAAAATATGTAATAAACTTTAACTAATTTATGCGTTAGAAAAATTATATACATTACTAAATATCTTTGATTAAAAGCATTGACTAGTTACAGTTCAGTGTTCGGACGCTCGCTTCAATTCAATGTACTCGAGCCACCCAGCCAGCACTAATCTGATGTGCAGAAGTAGCAGTGGGACTTGCTAGAGATTAGTTTTTAGATATTATCTTTCGAGATTTCAAATGACTGGCAGCATTCATGGACATAGTAAGAACTGAGGTGTTAAGACTTCCTGATGTCATTAACCCGGGCTACCGGCTGCTTGATAATTATTAGTTTTAATCGGATAAAGTCATCCAATGTGAAATTTAGTCTAATGTAGTCAGTATAAAAATGGTGAAAAATGCACCTTATTTTGTAGAAGGCGCGAAGGTGTGTTCTCCCTGGGCGCGGGTTGTGGAGCCACCTTGCTCAGTCGCGCTTCATACTCCTCTTTCATTTCCTCCATCTGTGAGTGGAACATGGTAACAGGTTGAGTTCTAGTTAAGATTTTTTCTTCGAGCGAACACTCCAATAGGTTATTACGATAATCTAGATCTAAATTTTTATTAAATTAACTAATTACAATGAGATAAGGATTAAACCAACTTATGATATGTATTATTTAATCTGAAGTTGTTTGACTTGGGTCTTTACAATGATACTCAATATAGGCTATTATATCTACATATATGTGAAAGCCGATATTTAGTGTTATAAACTCTACAAAGTTATAAATATGGAAACATTATACAGTCATTCTTTCAATGATATAAGTAGTTTAAATGTACGTAATAAAAGAAGTGGTTAAAGCGTCATGGCGCAAATTCGGAAGTCGTGGGTTCCATTCCTGCAGCGGTAAAAATTGCATTCAATTTTTTCTACAACTTTTAATGTTTCGTCTTCGGCTTTTTGAGCAGTCTATTACTTGCGATTACTGTGTAGGACGACCTTCCACTTGATGGAGTGACGTCCTGCGCAAATGTGCGAGAAGTCGATGGATGCAGGTGGCTCAGTATATTACTTCGTGGGAGGCTGTGTGGGAGGCCTATGTTCAGCAGTGGACTTACACAGGGCGTAATGATGACGATGACCGAGATTAGTACTATGAAAAATTAATTAAATAAATATTTTGGGACATTTTTACACAACATTATCTAGTAACCCTAACTAAGCAAAGCTTGTACTTTGGGTACTAGAAAACTGATAAACTTACTTTTCTTTTGTAAATAAATACATATCATACATATATAAATATCCAGACACTGGAAAAATACTATGTTCATCACACAACATTTATCCAGTAGTGGGGATCGAACCGAATACTTTTACTTGGGAATCGAAATACTTTTAAGACACCAAAAAAAACATTATGTTCATCACGGATCACTACGCCAATTAATTTATCAATTTGTTTTAGAGACGGGAATGTGGGGATGTGGGGATGGCAGTGCTTAGGCGCGGGTGTGGCGATTTGGCGAAGGTCACCTCGTCCCTGGCGGCGGCGAGCAGCGCCTCGTAGTACTGGCGCGTCATGTCCTTGGCCTCGTCCACCAGCTCCTGCATGGTGGCAGCGCTGGCCGCCTGCCGCTCCTCCATGGCGGCCACCAGCTCGCGCGCGCGCCCCTGCGCCCTGCCACGTGCCACGCGCTGCCACCTCGCTGCCACCTCGCTGCCACGCCAGGCCAAGGCCAGGGCGCCGTGCCACTGCCCGGGGCCTGGCTCATGGCCCGCTAGATGGGCTCCTTCCACTTTCCTCTATCACCCGTCACTTCAATGCATACTCACTCCTTGTTTCAGACATCATTCTTCGCACAATCCTTCCCGGTCTTCCTCTATCTTTACACCCTTCGATCACATTCATACTTATTACTTCTAGTCACATTCATTCACTTTTCCATTTTATTACTTTTTTTCCTAATGTAATATTAAAATTTTCGCTGTACATTTCAGAAGTTAGTTGTTGAGTAGCGACTATTCCGTAGACCACGAGCCAATTTTTACTGACAAACGGAATTCTCACAGAATAAATGTAACTGTAGCACCATTGAGAAGAGCAACCTACCGAATTTTTATAGTCCTTTAGAGAAACAAATTCTCTTGAGTTGAAAACTTCAAATAACACTTTCGTATCTTGATCATCGCTCTAAAGATCACCTGAGTTTTCTTAAAAGATGAAACAATACGAGTTAAATAGTATAATATGTCCTATACAAAAAAAAATTATCGGCGCTGCCAGAATTTAAGCCGGGTAACGCGCGCTGATGCTTTAGTTAACTGGACCAATCGCAAAACATTCTCACATCAATTCACACTTTTTCATCTATTAACCTAGCATTTTTTATTTTTGCCTACAACAGCTGAGTTGGTTCCTGATGCGTTGCCAAGCTTTTAAAACAATGGGCTCCAGTTACCTTACTCACCACCACATGTAACCACCACATGTAATGCAATATGCATAATGTTTCCACTCAAGCTGTGGCCCTGTGAGGCCGTGGTTTTCCCCCGGATGAGCCTGCCCATTGGTGCCTTTCGACAGATGTTACTATTCTCCCATGGGGTACAATGAATATACTCACTGCAGAAGCTCGAAGTGTAGACGCTCGTTTTCCGTCCTCAGCTTAAGCAGTTCCGCGCTGCAGACGCTCGAGTCCTGGGCGCTGGTCTCCAGGGACGAGTACTCCGCCACGGTGTTGTTGACCTCTGGACGCCGACAATAGCAGCTTTAGTAGGCGTTCCTTCCAATTCCAATCACTGGATAAGAGTCAATGCACACACGTATGTCCCTGGCGACGGCGGCCAGCTGCAGCACGTGGCGCGTCTCGTGCGCGCAGTCTGGCGCCGGGTTGAGCGTCACCACCACGCACACCGCCTCGCCGCGCGCCCCCGACAGCCCGGCGCCCAGCAGCCGCGTCAGCTTCGACTCCCTAGTGTATAAATCAGCGACGAGGGATCGGTTCATGCAATTGTACCAAAGAGCAGCAAAAAATCATCGGACGCGATTGTACCAATGAACAAGAAAAGATCGTCGGACGCGATTGTACCAAAGAGCAGCAAAAGATCGTCGGACGCGATTGTACCAAAGAGCAGCAAAAGATCGTCGGACGCGATTGTACCAAAGAGCAGCAAAAGATTGGCGGACGCGATTGTACCAAAGAGCAGTAAAAGATCGGCGGACGCGATTGTACCAAAGAGCAGCAAAGGATCGGCGGACGCGATTGTACCAAAGAGCAGCAAAAGATCGTCGGACGCGATTGTACCAAAGAGCAGCAAAAGATCGTCGGACGCGATTGTACCAAAGAGCAGCAAAAGATCGTCGGACGCGATTGTACCAAAGAGCAGCAAAAGATCGTCGGACGCGATTGTACCAAAGAGCAGCAAAAGATCGGCGGACGCGATTGTACCAAAGAGCAGCAAAAGATCGTCGGACGCGATTGTACCAAAGAGCAGCAAAAGATCGTCGGACGCGATTGTACCAAAGAGCAGCAAAAGATCGTCGGACGCGATTGTACCAAAGAGCAGCAAAAAGATCGGCGGACGCGATTGTACCAAAGAGCAGCAAAAGATCGGCGGACGCGATTGTACCAAAGAGCAGCAAAAGATCGTCGGACGCGATTGTACCAAAGAGCAGCAAAAGATCGTCGGACGCGATTGTACCAAAGAGCAGCAAAAGATCGTCGGACGCGATTGTACCAAAGAGCAGCAAAGGATCGGCGGACGCGATTGTACCAAAGAGCAGCAAAAGATCGTCGGACGCGATTGTACCAAAGAGCAGCAAAAGATCGTCGGACGCGATTGTACCAAAGAGCAGCAAAAGATCGTCGGACGCGATTGTACCAAAGAGCAGCAAAAGATCGGCGGACGCGATTGTACCAAAGAGCAGCCAAAGATGGTCGCACCTGTAGGGCACGAGGGCGTCGCGGCCGGCGCGCTGTCGGCGGCGCAGCGTGCGCAGGCAGCGCTCCAGCACGTGCAGCGACGAGTTGATCGCGCGCGACTCCGCCAGCCGCGCGCCGGCGTTGCGCGTGCGCCGCACCCGCTCGCAGCCCGCCAGGTCGCACAGCCGCACGCTCGACGCCCGGCACCCCTGCTCTGCTCGTGGGTCGCCCATAGGTCACGTCGCCGCCCACCCACTCCTGCCCACCACCCAACCCGATACGCGACAAACAGTACCTGTTTCCGTCAGCATCGTTATGGTGAAAATGCAGTGGGAGCGGGACGAGTGAGCGTTCACACCGGTGGCAGCCACTTGCAGATTGTGTTTCCCGGCCACCATAACGTCGTAAGCTTCCTCGCCGGTCCTCACGAACACTTGTGTTGCTCCCTGATTGAAGAAATAGTACAGAAATTTTGGAAACGGATCATATATGAGGAGAAGACTTCAATTTTTTTTATTGTAAACATCTTACCTTCACATAAACATTGCCATTGGAGTCTTCACGAATTACAAGTTTGGATGAAGCACTCCTATCATTGCTTGAGAGTAAATCATAAATGCCTTCATTGTAGATTTCTACAAAGGACACCTGAAATTAACATTTTCTTAAATATTTTCTTTCTTTGGCAGAGGCAGGCACTCCTGATTGGAGTGTCTTCTAAATAAGAGCAAATATGAGCAAAAATAAGAACAATAGCTGCCAACTAATTACAGCAATACTTCACTTCATTTAATATTTATAATTTAATTTCTTAATGACATAACAATAGATAGTTTTTCAGTTGATAGTAGAGATATTATTAGCACAAATATGTAGTGAAGATCTATGGTTATTAGATACTTTCAAAATAAAAAAACTCATACCCAAACATAGTACTTTGTTCTATTAGATAAATCCAAGCTGCTGGTGATTAAGTCATTGTGTAATTGTACACTCATTCGACGATATTTCTCACGTAATGGTGCTGACAAATGGCGAATCTGTTTAACAAACTGTAAGCAAGATAAATATTTTTGAAAATTAATTATTTAACACTTGTAGAACAAAATTTTGAATACATCCATTTGATATGTATCTATTTATTTATTAATGTAAAACCTACCTGCAATTCATTCTCCTGTGCAGCATAACTTAATTTTTCAGCACCATTATCAGCTGGTTTAAAAACAGGTTTCTGTGCTGCATCTACGACTTTGAACACATACTCTAGAGATCGAGGTACAAGACCAGGAGCAGCCACCGTGCCCATGAGGGTAAATGTTTTACCAGACCCTGATGCTCCATAAGTAAGCAAGGTAAAACTGTGACCTTCAGGCAGCTTTTTTAAGTTATCCTTAACAATGCGCTCAAACAGTTCCTGAAAAGTAAAAAAAAGCAGAACTGAAGAACTTTCAAACTGTTTCTACTCATCATGGAACTTGTTCTCAGCAGAGGACCAGGGCAGCAGCAGAATAAGAAATATGACCAATCTACAAAAATTGGGGATTCAATTGCTGCCAGGAGGAGCATATAGTCTCTGCCTATCTAGGGTAAACAATCACATTAATATCAAATTATGACGAAAGTTATATGAATCTAAATTTGTAGAAGACACACCTTTATTATAAGGGCATTAGAAAATGATTTCTGAAGACATTTTATGGAATATGCAAAATTGCTAAGTTATAAATTCAAATGAATGAGAGATGAAAGCCTTTATTCCAAAACTGCGACGGTGCGAGGCTTCACTTTGTGAATTTATCTCAAAAACTACGAATTTACAGAAATAAAAGAGAAATTTTAATACGATTAAAAATTTACTTGTCTTTCTCTTTTGAAATATGTACTGGTAACTTACTTTTTGATTTGCTTCAGGTCCAAATATATGCGAGAAGGTGTACATTTTTGATACATTGTGTTGGGTTCGTCGTCCATGACCAACTGTTGCTGTATCCAGTGATGTAATTAAACATCGATCTGATTTCACTTCATACATATTACTGGGAGTATTACAAGGTTTTAGCCTCAAATAAACCTGCACTAGCTCTGGCTCCTCACAATCAGAATCCTCCTCGAACAACTCTAGTAAATTTGTACCTTTTTGTGGCCGCGGTCGCATAAAAGGATTCGATATCAAAGGCGGCCTGGGCTCAATAAAAGAAGGTATATCTCTCCTGGAGATTTCGTTATCAGAAAATCTTTGATCAATCATTTTTGTACACTATTAAACCATTTGAATAAGTTAATGGATAAATTAAAAACAAACAGCAACGGTTCGTCGTTTTCAAATTTCAAATCATAAGTGTCAACTGTCAATTGTCATAAGTTTCACAAGTACAAATGCGCCACAGATAAAATTTTGTATTTGTATTTTCGTCTCTATCTTAAGTAAAATATATTTTTCTTTTGACAGCTTCTTTGAAAGAAGTCGGTTGTCCGTGAGTAATCCGAAGCAATCCGAGGTTCAGGAAAAACAACGTTAAATGACGCACGACGACTACACGATGACACCGTCCGCTCCACTGCATCTCTGCGCCCCCTGTTAAGGAACGATCAACAATTCAACTAACAGTGGGATGGACGACGCTATGGAGGGACCCCTTATATGGAGGTTGGAACCTCGACTGCCATTGATAGTGACATCTATCCAGGGGAGCAAGGTCAACGAGATAAGGTGGCTCGACAATGTGTCAATGCCTTTGGATTGTGTCGGGCTCCCTCCTTGTGCAAATCATTTATTGTTAGTTAATCGTTCATTAGCATTAGAATTGTTCGTTAGCAGTGTTGTGGAGTTGCAGTCGAGTGTACGGCGCTAACGTGTCGTCATCGTCCACCTGCTGACCTCTTTCACTGCAGATGTCAAAGCACGTTGATTGATGTTGGATCTATAGTCTCAGTTTTTTTCTCTTTCTAACTAGGGTAACAGTCGTAGACTGAATGGATAAAGAAAAGCTAGTGACAGCGCGTTAAGGAACACTGTGTGAAACAGGAACTGTTAATTAAGTTTGTTCTTAATAGTTACAGGCTGTTATCTCAAGATACCTGTTATAATAACCTGTTACGATAAGTACGTTTAACTCCTACAGTCGTGGAGATGCAGTGAAGCAGACAGTGTTATCGGGTCGTCATCGTGCACCAGCTATGTTGTTCTCCTAAGTCCACGGTACGTGTTCTTATAGACCAGAAAGTGTCAAATTCACTGAGATAATAGCGAACTACACTACAAAAAAATTAGTGAAAAAACAGTTTCGGTAAATGTTGGTAGCATCCCTAAATTGTACTTAGCTTAGGACAATTACTCATTCATCATTCGCTCCCTACTTCAATTCAAATTAAATCAATCAGTCACTTCACTCATCGTAAGTCATTTTTACAAATGTCGGATTGTGTCGGATAGATGCTTGTGTACGATACAGCAATTGTTTATTTTTATAATTTTGCAGACTTAAAACGCTGCCAAGACAAATATGAGTCTCATTTAGTTTTATGTATGTTAAGTAATTTATTACTTTGTTGTTTGCCGGGCACTTCAAACATGCAGTTGAACAATGTTTAAAATTTTAGGAAGCTTTGAAAATGTGATTGTTTTCGTTTTTGGCTTTGTGCCATAGCTTTTAACACAGTTTTATGGGAAGTCAGCAAAATGCGGCGTTGTTTGGTTGTGATAGTTCTGCTATTTTTTAATGGGGCTCTCGGCTACTGCCCTTCTTTGTGCTCATGCAAGGGTAATAAATCCATTGACGGGTCTGCGGTGGAGCTTCAGCCTGATGAGCCTCTCAAATTAAAATGTGGTGGGAGTCCAGCTCAAATTACAGAACTTAAAGAGATCGACCTCAGCAAGCTGTGGTCTGTTGTTATCAGTCTGTAAGTATCTTTCTATAGTAATTAATATTTTATATTGAAGTGAAGTATCACTGTAGGTATACAGTCAGCTGGTTTAACTGTAAATGTGCATAAATTATTTTATAGTGTATGACTAATTCAATGTGTTGTTGAATCAAAATAGTCATGAATTTAACACAGAAATAATCTGTTCATACACATGTCACTTAAAAATTGTATTTGTATGGTTTATCATCCTAATATATGTACTAATATTTAAATGTCTAAATTAATATTTTATCAATAAAACTATTTGATAATAATAATAAAACTATAACATGACACAAATCTATTAAATATATTAAAAAAAAACTGAATTACATTCTTAAAACTTCTGTTTTACAATTAATGCAGGACATAAATTATAGATATTAGAATAATTGAAATTTATAGATAAATAGTACAAATAAACACTTTGTTTTTAAAAATACAAAAAGCATTTCATGAGTGTTCTTTAAATGATGAAATGAGTAGGTATATTTCAAATAAAAATTTTGTACACATGTATAATAATACTAAAGTATTCATTAATATTATTTTCAGTAATTTATCTGGAAATGCTATATCGACATTATCACGGGAACTGCATTTGCCAAATTTGCAAAAACTGTAAGTTATTTATAATATATCCAGTATGTTCTTATGTTCCATTTAAGACTAATTATTAATAATCGCTATTTCTATTATCTTATTTCATAGAGATCTGAGCCGAAATCAAATAACTCTCATAGAATCGGATGCTTTTTACAACATGACATCATTGCAAAGGCTGGACTTGTCATACAACCAAATAAGCAATATTTATAAAGAAATGTTTAAAGGATTGGTAAACCTGGAGAGATTAGTTCTATCTCAGAATCTCATTTCTACTTTATCATCTGGCACATTTGATTATCTATTGGGGTTGAAGCAGTTGTAAGTACTTTTAATATTACACATTAAGTTTTATTCCTGAAACCTGTTTAATATTTTTTAGAAATTAAATATAAATCATAAATTTAAAATGCCATGGTGTAATTCCTTGAAAAATCCTACTTTCAGCCAATACATACATTGTCCAAGCATAGGATAGTCTGCCTTGCAGTCTCATTATGTATTGACTTCATGAAGTTTTCAAAATTGTAATTTTTTTTAAAACATTTACAATTTTCCATCACTACCAAATATATGTGGTAAATTGGAACTTGAGTTTGATCAAATAAGTTGGTGGCCATTTAAGTTTCCACCTGAAACTTTGAGTAATAAATAACTTTTTTGCAATCATTTTAAAAGTTAATTTAAAGTTAATTCTAACATGTTTTTATTTTTGTGTAAGTTCAACTTCAATACAATTATGATGATAACTTTCTCAATATCTTTTAGACTATGAATAATAACTATTACTGAATAATTTTTAAATTTATTTTCACAGAGACATAACAGAAAATCCTCTCATTTGTGACTGTGAGCTGTTATGGGTGGGTGATTGGTCCAGAAATACAAGTGTTAAACTTGTGGGTAATCCCAAATGTAGATCACCAGAAAATATGGTCAACAAGACAGTACGTAAACTCAAAATATTCTTGGATCTATCAGCTTGCGGCAGTGTCTTACCCTCAAGTACATTAATAGTCAAACCGGCTCATGATCAAGTGGTGTTTGAAGGCGATACATTGATGTTAACTTGCAATGCACCCTTCGCCTCGGTGCTAGCGAAGTACGAACTGAAATGGGTGCATCCAATGCTAGAAGTGTGCGATGTGAATGTTACCAATACAGACATGCAAGAAGAGGGTTTGGCGGAGACCTCTGTGTTCTTCCCCAACATAACTAACCACCACACTGGGAACTGGACGTGCGTATATACCGATCAGAATCGTATACGTCACAACCACACTGTGCAAGTGTTAGTGCTGTCAAACGGAACTCAGTATTGTGGCACCAATCATACAATGAATAACAAGGGCTTGTACTCCTGGCCACAGCTGTTGCTGAACCACACCGCGGCTGTACCTTGTCGCAGTGGTGAGGGTACAGCTTTCAGGCACTGCAACTCCAATGGCACTTGGGGTCCAGTCAACACAACGGAATGCTCTTACATTAGTAATGTGACAAAATTACTCCAGCAATTTGCACTGTTGAATGTGAGTTTGGTTCAGTATTCTGCCCTCAATGCCAGCGAGAGATTGGCCATGTTAATACAGGAGAAGACTTACCCATTGGCTGAGATAAGCGATCCTGATGATGTCATGTTTATATCTCAGGCAATCAGGAATTATATGCAGTATATGGCAGAAGAAAAAGATTTGGGTGTGTTTCTTTTTTTTTTGTAGTTATAATTAATGTTTGTGGAATCTGTAAATATTTTAAACATTAATGAATTAAGTATTTTTAATTTTTTTTTTAAATCAAAATTTTTTTTTAATTTCAGGTGCTTCGCTTTTGGATGTTATTAGTTCAGCCATGAATATAACGTCATCAGTAATGACACAGGCGGAAATTTTGTATGGGGCCTGCACAGATATGGTGAAAGCTGCGGAGGAGATTTCCGCCTATACCAACAATGTACAGGGTCATAAGGTAAACAAAATGGAACTAGATTAATTTAATTAAAACCGTAACAATCACTGTAAAATTAAAACTAATTCGTGTTTAATACACCCAGAGCGTATGATTGGCACAGAACATTTATTTCATTTTTTCTACTTCTATCTTGGGATTTACAAGTGTAATTCAATCCCAGTGGCTGTTACATAAAATCGCGCTACAGTTTATAAACTATTGTGTTATGAGTGTTGGTCATGATCATAATTCATGGTGCGCCAAGTGAAGTTATGACATATTAATATAAATAAGAAAAAAGGAATAAGAATGTGCAATCAGGCGTGTTGCAGGCAACTGCAGCTTACTGATAAGTCTCATTTCGTAGTGGATACAAAAAAGAACCCCTGTAGCTGTGATCAGAGTGGAACTATGATTAAAGCAGGAGGCGATTGGTCGCTGCCAAGTGTCTATTATATAGTGGCATGCAAATGCACCTCTTGTTGTGATCTGGGCGGAAGTTTGATGAAAGCAGATGGCGACTGCTTACTGCCAAGGGTCCGTCGGTGGGGGAACAGATTGCGCTCAGTGTTAGCTTTGTCCCCGCAGGTGAGGCTGGCCGTGGAGCGGTTCCCCGTGAGGGAGGGCTTCGGCGGCGTGACGTGCGTGTGGTACAGCGCCGCGGGGCCGCCGCGGCTGCACTGCTCCACCACCAACCGCACGGTGGCGCCGCTGCTCACCGTCAGCGACGCCCTCATCCACGCCAGCGTGCAGGTGCCCGGACCTTCCTCAAAACTTATCACCCGCCATCCTTATCGGAGACTTTCAGCCTTTTCGTATTATGTCGTCTGGGTCGCGTGTGTCGTGTACAGGGCTGCCACCTTTCTAAAAGAACAAATCCAAAGATTTTTTTTTGAAGTGGGTATTTTTATTTTAGTTTAAATGTAAGACAATCGGACTAGGCTCCTCTCTCAACGCTCACAGATTTCGATGTTAAACCATTGGGCCGGTCGACCATGGAGCGGTGATTGCCTCAGGTGCAATGCAGATGATGCCTCTTTGAAGCTAGACGAATTCATGGGGCAGTACAGATACAGATGAGATCTACCTGAATTTTGAATCTAATTTACATGATAAAGGGGATGTTTGCAATTTGAAAACAAATCTTATGTACTTTATGGTATTTAAGCGTTGTATGTGTGAAATGAGATAATTGGTTCCAGATACCCCAGTCGCTGCTGTACAGCACCACTGAGTCCGGGGCGCTGGTGCAGAGCGCGCCCCAGGAGCTGGTGGTGACGGTGTACGAGGACGCGTCGCTGTTCCCGCTCCTGCCGGAGCCGGAGAACGACGGTGCGCAGAGGGGCCACAGGGCCAAGGACTACTACGGCCGCAGCACCAAGCGCGAGGACGTGCTCATGGAGATCACCTCGCCGGTGGTCGGCTTCCAGCTCAGTGAGTGTCCGGCTATATCGGCGACCCGAATTAATTAAGAGCTACGGGTGTTGCAAATCTCCACGTGCGGCGGTTATCAGTGAACATTGTATGTACCGCCAGCTCGAAATGTTCTTATAAACACACGGAGTTTCGGCTTTTGAGGGTGGTGCCACATGTCTAAATAAGAAATCGGTGCCCCTCGTAATCTTGTTAATGGCCTGTTTCGAATTTTTTAATAATATTTTGGGAAACTGCGTTTTCTTTTCGACACAGTCGCCAATTCGGTATAAAGTCACATAAACCTCGTGCGTATCCAAGACGAAAGAATGCGTTCAAGCTCCTTGTAAACTTGTGTCCGTTTCCACTCGGCAGGCGAGAGCGAGGTGCGCGGGGAGCTGCTGGAGCCGGTGATCGCCACGGTGCGCGTGGGCGCGGCGGGCGCCGGCGCCGACGGCCGCGCCGCCGTCTGGAGGCACGCGCTGCGCCGCTGGGCCGACAACACCTCCGGTACACATTTCTTCCGCGCTGTGCCATGCGACTCAAGCTACCGCCACTGCGAGCTACAAACGTCTATTACAGTTATCCACATTCATAAATTTCACGTGGACCAAGACTTATGACTCCAAGCCAACATCTTGGCAAATGCGCAACTTATCCATGACCGATACGTTCGTTGTTCCAGAGTGCAAGGTGTCGCACGTGGTGTCGGAGATGATGATCCTGAGCTGCAGCCGGCTGGCGTACGTGGGGCTGGCGCAGAGCGTGGAGACGGGCATCTACGGCGCGCGCACGGGCGGCGCCCGCTTCAAGGTGTCGCACCCCGCCGTGTACGTGGGCAGCCTGGTGCTGCTGGCCTGCCTCGCCGCGGCCGCGCTCTCCTACCTGGCCTGCTTCCGCGCGCTGCTCATGCCGGCGCGCGCCAAGCACGCGCTGCTCAACACGTGGCTGGCCATCGGCCTCCTCTGCTTCCTCTACACGCTGGGCATCTACCAGACGGAGGACGTGCGCCTCTGCCGCGTGCTGGGCCTGCTCATCCACTACCTGTCGCTGTGCTGCCCGCTCTGGATGTGCGTGTCGGCCAGCGACATGTACAAGTGGGCCACGCGCGCCCGCGGGCCCCCCCGCGACCCCGAGGAGAGCCCCTCGGGCTCCGCCGCCGGCCCGGGCCCCCCCCACCGGCCGCTGCTCGGCCTCTACCTGGTCGGCTGGGGCATCGCGCTCATCGTGTGCGGCATCTCGGGCGCCGTCAACATCAAGGACTACGCGGGCTACTCGCAGTGCTTCCTCAGCACCGCGCCCGCCCTCGCCTCCCTCTTCATCCCCGTCGGCATTCTGCTCCTCTTCCTCAGCGTCCTGTTCCTCCTCATCCGCTGCACGATCAGGAACATGAACGTCCAGCTGTCGGAGGGCACCCAGGCGACGGAGAACCTGGACCTGGAGATGCTAGAGCCGAACCCGGGCAACGAGGGCGCGGAGAGGCGCAGCACCAAGTCCGCGATGGACTCCGAGGTGGACGACATGGAACACGCCCCGATCACACAGCTGAGGGCGCAAGTGATAGTGCTCTGCCTGTACATGTCGGTGTGGACTTGCGGGGCGGTGGCAGTCTATCGGCCTCTGCCGGCCTACCTGCCGTATCAGGAGGACATCTGCAGCATCATATACGCCGTCTGCGCCACGGTGTTGGGCACCTTCATCCTATTCTTCTACGGCATCGCGAGGAGCGACGTCCGCTCGCAGTGGGCATTGATGCACTGCTACCTGCAGAAGGGCAAGCAGTGCTGCAGGAACAGGAGCGTGTTCGACGCCAACCAGCGCACCCTGCAGACGAACCCCAGCAGCGCGGCGCCGGCGCCGATCCCGAACGACAACCGGTCTCGGTCTGGCTCCAGGAGCTCGAACAGGACCAACTCGAAGACAAACAACAGCGGCACCTACAAAGCCGCGGCGGAACTGAACGGGCAGACACTGCAGAAGGAGGTGCTCAAGAACACTAACGGGAAGGCCCCGAACATAAACCTGGTGGTGCTCCATCGGCAGCAGTACAGGTCTAACAACACCACCATCAGCTACCCGGAGCCGGGCAACGTGGGGCCCGAGCTCTTCTACAACCCCAACCAGATGAACGTCGCGAAGAAGTTCTTCAAGAAGCAGCGGCAGCACATGAAACGCAACTGCCTGGAGCTGCCCACGAGGAGGGACGCGGACGACGACTCGCACGTCTCGCTCCCCCTCGCCTCCAAGGAGGCGTACAACGGCGTCGCCAGCATAATAAACGCCGGCAGCAAGGTGAACAACACCAACCTGCACGTGGAGAGGTGCAGCGGCGTAAAGGAGCCTCGGAACGCGGCCAACCCCAACCTGCTGGAGGACGACCAGCGGGACCATTTCAAGAGCTACGCGAGCGACAGGAAGTCGTGGCAAAACAGCGACGAGCCCAAACCCGGGCGTGGCCAGGTGGTGAACATCTACACGAACGTGCCGGAGACGCGCGTGCCTCAGCACCAGGTGGTGGCCCAGGGTGGCACCCCGCCGGAGCCCACCACCCGCACCGTGTCGCAGCAGTGCAGCCTGGACTACAGCTCGGCGTCGGAGGCCGCGCTGCCGCACACCTGCTCCGACCACACCCTCAACACCCACTCCGATATCACCTCGTGCCAGGAGACGCAGAGCGCCCTCTGCTCGGCCAACGAGGTGACCGACACGGAGAGCTTCGGCCAGTACATCGACTACCTGCAGCCGGCGAGGCCCGACCAGAGGGAGCCGGACAAGTCGCTGCACGACATCTCCGAGGAGTGCACCGTCGACGAGGAGCGCCCCTCGCCGCCGCCGGCCGAGGGCGCGGACGCCAAGGAGCCCTTCTTCCTCGCGAAGACCCAACCCGACTTCGACTTCGACGCGTGCAGCACCAACGCGAGCGAGCACTGCTTCGAGAACGAGAGCGACATCTACTGCCCCAACTACCAGGTGTCCGAGGTGAGCATCCGCAGCCACGGGCTGTACGCGCCCTCGCCCTCGTCCATGTGCCCGAACGAGATCAGCTTCAGCACCGAGGACGTGTCCAACATGGAGAGCCAGTACGTGAACTACGACCCCGGCTGGCGCAAGGCGGCCAAGAGCAACCCGGCGCTGGCGCAGTTCGCCGCCTCGCCCGCGCCCGCCCTCAGCTGCCCCGAGGTGCACCGCCCCCACGACGAGGGGCCGGACGCCGACCTGGACGCCCTCTACACCCTCATCAAGGGCCGGGACCCTCCCCCGCTGCCCGACCAGCCCCCCACCGACACACCGGTATAGTTATTCGCCTTCGGACTGGACTCAAAATAGACTAATTAGTGAAATTGTTTTATCAAAACTCTCGTGCACAGTTAGCGAATGAACCGATTAACAGAGTGATGCCAGATTGTGTTCAACTCACTGCAAATAGAACGGAGAGAACCTATTGTTTTTTTTTTGTAAGCACAGGCTATAGAAAATCCGGATGGATCGTAGATGGAACGCACAATGCTCGCAGTTGTAAAGTAGATGTAATGTTTAGTGCCATCCCATAACACTACAATTGTAATTAACGTGTAAATTTAATGTATTTTTAAGTGTACATATTGAATGTCTTTGAACAACATATTGACAGTATTCTGATTTAAATTATGCTGCCTTTAATGGTTGATCATCCTTTTATGGGAGGTAGAGGAACTTAATAATTCCTCATAACATAAATATTTTCCTTTTATAGAAATTGATCTACATTCTTGTAAAATTTTAATAGTTCGTATTGTTGTTATTAATGCTCTCTCTATCTCACATTGCGAGGAGAGAGATTAATATTTTTACAATAATGTACTTTTTTCCTTTTGGTTTAAGGAATACTGCATTTGTTACTTTCATGTAGATCATTTTTTTTATAAAAACAAATATGTCGGTTGCTTTTACGTTTGCATCATGGATACTTACATTTGAAACTAGTACTATAGTACTTATGATATTAGGACAGCCTTAAGTACATTGATATGATTCAGCGCCTTTACTTGAATTATAATTATCCTTAATCCTATGTTAAATGATAAACCTTGCTTAACATGGTTAAAAGGTAAGGTAAAAGCAACCGTTATAAACGCCAATAGAGGACTTCCAATGGCAGCTCTCTTCCGCGCCTAATATAGTGACTGTTCGGTAAAAAATGTGCCAAATCTTGACGGAATGTTACCTACTTATTCCTTCCATTGTCCTTCCAAATAGCCCTTCCAAAACTCCAAATTGCGACTGAACGCAACCGCCTCCTATCTAGTCTCACTTTTGACTCTTTTGTAATTTAGTCGCACATTCGGAACAGTTTGAACTTGTGCCTAAGAGTTTTTCTTCGTAGAGTAAAGCATAGTTTGTTGACTGCGGTCTGTTCCTTGTAAGCCCGTAGACACGCCGTAACCTTAATACGTCGTGGAGACATCTTTTGATGTGTTTGTAAAGCTTTTTCTTATTTTATTTAATAATATAGGCACAATTATAATCAAATAGTTTACTAATTGAACAAGATCTAAAAATAAACTTATTGGATGGTTCAATCCATTAACAATCCGTTATGTATTTTTCAAGTAAAACAAAATTGTATGTATGATTATTCAGTAACAGTATTCGGTAAACATTTTGCAAGTTGACCTATCGAGAGACAATCGGCTAATGATAAAAAATGAAACAAAAAAATAATTTTGGTTTTATAGAGAATTATCTCTGTCAGACTCTATAGCATCTCTTTTAGTTCTTCATGCAACATGCATGTGGGACTTGTCTCTTCCAAGAGTATTTATCAGACCCGTTTCTTTTTTTACCCACATGGTAACATTAACATGTTTTTATTTTATTACAATGTAGCTTATTTTTTTAAATACACATGTGAATAGAGATCTAAGCGACTAGCAGGATTCCGGCATGTCTGCGAAATTTCTATATCTGTATATACTTATTGTGGTCGAAAATTGTAAATTAAAATCGTCTATGCTGCAAGATTTATGTATTTTCATGATAGGTATATAAAATAGAGTAGTATACACAAGTATATGAGAAGTTCACTTTTTATGTATAAAATTTTTTATGAGTAAAAAAAAAAAACAGCGTTTTAAAAATTCCTACGTCTGGTTTAATATATATATTATGTATGTAAATAGTAAAAAATTACACGAAACAAATTCCTCGCTAGCTCCGAGAATGATAAAGCATATAATATTATTACACTGACCGTGAGGAAGGGTTATTCAAAGAAATGCAAAGGAAGGAAGAAAGGTGAAGGTGAGACGCAAACAGTAGAGACAGTTGCAGTAGCATTGTTACCTCATTTAACAGACAAAATACAATAGTATGAACATTTTACTCGTGACTTTTCGTTTACAATTTTCGACAAAAAATATATAGGAGCTCTTGTGATATATAAAATCTTCAGCCGCCTTAGAGTTCGGCTTTTGTACTGTTGTTGCGATTTTTAACTTAATACGACACTTGTGAATATTATACATAGTGTATTGATAGTGTAAAGTTTATGAATGCTTAGCTTTTTGTGAGCATATTGCGTAATAAAAATGCATTGCACTTTCCAACGTTTTTTATTAATTTAAGACATGGACAGATTTCGAAAATTTAATATAGAATTTTAAAATAGATTATATTTAAAATAAAATAATCGAGAAAACTATCGTTCTTTGGTTGTTAATAAAATGATATCAGACTTTAATATATTCTTAGGAACTAAATGATTTTGGACTGTTAAATTCAAGAACCTTATTTATGTTTTTACTTATAATAAATATTAATTATTCATCAATCAATTTACAATAAGATAAATCAATCAATTCACAATAAACAATTGAATAAAGTAACATACTTTGGTAAAATATTAAATATGGCATAAGAGATCGCACAGGAGAAACTGACGAACTAAGATTTAATTATGTAATATAAAAACTTATAACGATCACGTTGCTACTTTGAGCGGTGCGACAACATGACGGTGCGTATGTTACGATGCGACGCAAACGCGTGTTAGCGTCGCGGAGTAACGCAGCGACGCGATGATAGCGTCGAGCGGGATTCAGGCGTGCGCGGAGAGGGCGGGCAGCGAGAGGCGCGCGGTGAGCTCGCGCCCCCTCCCCGCCACCGCGCCCAGCACGCGCCCCACCAGCCCGCGCCCCGCACCGCCCCCCGCACCGGCCCCCGCACCGCCCCCCGCCGCCGGCTCCGCTGCAAGCCGTTGCGGTGCCTCTTATCACCATTCGATACGTTCGCAGACAGTTTTGACTCCTGATGGAGACTAATTGCTATGCTACGAACATTGAAGCTATGTACTCTATGTGATGAAATAATTTTCATTTTTTTTTAATAGTGCGCAGCAATAATGAAGTATATTTCATTCATTCATTCAGCCATTTTTGATGACGTTTGAGAGAATTCGAAAGGAGTTTCATGAGGAAAATTACTGAAAGACCTTGAAACACATAGTTTGTATTTTGAGTCGATTCATTCGTGTGTGAGCTATTTTCAAATTTTGTCATGAACAGGGCCTTTTGCGAGATTGGAATCGGTCGTTGATCTAGCATGGACAAGTACAAGAGCGTACGAAGTTAGTTTATTTCAATCCTAGCAGTGTTCAAGTCGTAGAGTCGGGGGCGCATTTTTTAACCGTGTTAGGTCCAAGCAACGGCTCCCTGATGCACGAACGGGCGGGTCCGTCCGGGTAAGTGCCACGACCTCACAGAGGACTTTCCTTAAGTTTCCTAGGGCTTGATATAAAACACTTGATATAGTTTAAAATAATCACTGTCCAAAATTAACAAACTACTTGATACTGATAAATGAGAACGCTGTAAAGAGGAGCGTACCCGGCGCGGCCGGCAGGAAGTCGAGCAGCAGCGCGGGCAGCTCGCGGTCCCGCGGGCCGGGCTCGGCGAGCAGCCGCAGCGCTGCGCGCGAGCAGTGCTGCGCGCTGCCCACCAGCTGCGCCGCAGCGCTGCGCCCGCCCAGCAGCAGCGCCGGCGCCTCGACCAGGTGCGACCGCTCCACGCGCCACCACGCCGCCCCTGCAATCCCGGGCGACGTAAAACGAGCTGCCGATAGCAGTCATCGCTATTCCACAACGAATAGATCTTAAGACGCTGAAACGTTTTTCCATCTATTCTGAACATTTCAGATGATTTCAGTAATGTAATGTAATCTCTGCACTTAAGATGAAACATTATAACTTTTAAATTTCTTAAAGCAATGGAGACATGTCTCGTTCGAATTATCGCTGTAAAACTATATTCGAAATTTGTTTGTATGCTGGTCGTGCTATTTTAATTTCAGATGTAATACACGCAAAAATTACATTTTAAAATGTATGTTTTATTTTCATTCTGTACTTTATAAGATATTATTTGAAACAAAATAAAAAGTAACTGTAACTAACAATATTATTTTATTAAGATTAATAAAACTGACCCCTGACGTAGTTTAGTGCACCGTTCCAGTCACGGGCTCGCGAGCTATTGGAGTTTGATCCGTTGTCATCGTGCAAAGCGCCCTCTGCCAGCCACCGCTCGGGCAAATACGGCCACTAGTAATAAATAATAATAAAAATATATTATGCTAAAATTATTCGTTGTTTTATTTCATCTACGAGGGCGTCATAGTTTCTACAGCCATTTATAACAGTCTCGAGGAATACTTGTGACAACCAAGGTTCTTATACAGGGTGGCTTTTCTAGGTGTATCCATTTTTTTATTAAATTCTAGACGTAAATGATTTTATATAAAAAATGATAAATATTTAAAATCACTCGTAATTAATTGATTACATTCATTTGAACTTATCTCAAAAAGTTCGTGATTTATGGGCAACTCTTTTATTTTACGCGCAATCATTTATAACTAACACGCACACAAGTTCGTGCACAGTAAAATTTAGGTATTTATGAATGACTACCGCATTGTCAACACGTTCTGTTTTTTAGGGAATAGAATGGCATTTTTTTTTGGAAAAAATACTTTGTTTTTTATTTCAATAAACGATTATACTACCGAGTTCAGACTCGGTAGTATAATCGTTTCAGACCTCCTGTGTAAATTTGGGCACTTCTCAAAAAATCTCCCTGTATAATGGTATTGTTGTTTTAATTATAAAATCCGGATATTTAGAAAATTACGGATTTGTAGACGTGTATACTGTGACACTCAGACACTGCAGATTTTGCCACAATCAACCATTTACGTTTACCATGACTGGGGTGCTTATATAGCTATTATGGGTACATCAGTCTTGGCTGCCAAATTAAACTTGCTTAACTTGACAGTCTTCCGGGCGACAGACCCCCCCGAGACATAAAAGTAATATTCGTCTAATACTCGTTATTAGGGTTATTTCCGATGCGCGAAAGAACTTTGTACGTTTCCTATGTAGATCTGTCTAAAGTTACGAAACGGGAGACGGAAAATGGCTTATGGATTTCTGTTAGTTGATACAAATCTATCAAAATAGTATGAAATGCAAATTTCTGTTAGTATTAGTAGTGGATACCGGTCGGAATAGCATTACCTGTATGAAATGCAGCGCCCTGTGGCAGAATCGCGCCGGCGGGTACTGCCAGTAGAGATTCGGATGCGGCGAGTCGATTATCGCCAATTTCCTTATCAGCGGCCCCCGGCTGTGCGCCAGATACCTGCACCGGTTATATATTATTATTTATAACGGGCATACTTTACGTCATATTGTGAACGTTGTCGAGGGCAGTTACGATCGTTCGCAAAATAGAATCCATGAAGAGTGCATAAAAGTAAACGACTTACAGCCTATAAATGTCTCTGTACAAAAGGTATGGGACATAGTCCACCACGCGACCCCATCGCGGATTTTTTTTGTTAATATTACGAATGATATGTATAATTTTTACAATTGCGATTATTTTTTGAATTTCAAATCCATACGTTTCAAATATTTTTCAGCACTTTACGTGGAAACATAAAATAATAATTTCTTTTTTAGGTTTCTAGTTAGGTATATAAAACTATGTACATGTTACTTTCGCCCCAAAATATTATTAATTTTAATTCCTCGTGAAACTGATCTATGACTGACCTCTAACAAGATCTAGATTTAATTGTGACACTGATCTACAACAACTGCTCTTGCTAGTTGAGTTTATTTTGAATACAGATTATCTTATAAAGTGCTGAAGAGAATAATTCCTAGGACTTGGGGTCGAACGCCCGACGGAGAAAACCGAGCTTGCGCACTATCTGTGGAGTTATTTATGTTCAGTTTATCTGCATTGTTATTGCGAGGGTTCAGATTGTGTTCTGTACATCTATTTTATCGGTCAAAGCGACGCACGCCGTCACGACGCTACCACGCCCCGCGTGACATCGTACGATAATGATGAATTAAGGAAAAAAACTAATTAAAAACAGGCCAAGTGCGAGTGGAATTCGCGCACGAAGGGTTCCGTACCGTATCTATAAAACCATGTATGTGGTAAACGCAAGTAACGGCAAAAAAACCATGTGTGTGGTATGGAAGCCATGCTTAAATATTTTGTTATTCTGTTTTTAAGTATTCGTTGTAATAGCGGCAACGGAAATACATCATCTGAGAAAATTTCAACTGTCTAACTAGTCCCGTTTCACCCTTTCGGCCCGGAACCTATTCTATTTTTGGATTAAAATAAAGAAACGAGACGGACAAAAGACAAGCGATACAGAAAATGAACCTCACTGCAGAATTTCAGCCTCCACGGAAGATAAAGAACATTGACATATAAATTAATGAAGGGACTTGAGACTTACAGACGATTCGTATAAAAAACTTCAGAAACATTGAGGGTAAAACATTTCGTAATCACATACGAATGACTCGGTACGTTTGATAAAATCAGATTTTATCAAACAATGAATCACATATATATTCAATATTTAGCCCAGACCATTATCGCAACGATCTCTTAAAATAATCATATGAATCATTCCAACGTCAGACGAAAACGTAAGTCTGTTTGTACCAATGAATTTTCGGTTAATTCCTTAATTTTGTCTTGCTATTTGCCACTTGCCCTGTTCTTGTTTGTTAGAACAGCATAATTATTTTTTTTTTGTGATAGCGTCAAACGAGCTGGCGGTTCATCCGATGTTAAGTGATAAACGCCGTACATCGACACCCGCAACACCAACTGGGGTTGCAGATGCGTTGCCATCTTTTGGATAAAGTGGGCTCTGGCTACCTCACTAATTGGACGAAACACAGAAGTATTGCACTTCCCACCGGTCTTCTGTGTGGTCGTGGTACTTAGCCGGACGAACCTCGCCATTCGTATAATAGCCAAGAGAGTTGCATGGCGACATGTTGCGGAACTAGTATTGCACCAAATAATACCTGGGAGGGTTATGATGCTATAAATATAAACACCAAGTGCGTGTCGGACTCGCACACGAAGGGTTCCGTACCATTATTTATAAAAACGGCAAAAATAATGTCTGTTGTATGGGAGCCCCACTTAAATATTTTTATTATTCTGTTTTTTACTATTTGTTGTTACAGCAACAACAGAAATACATCATCTGTGAAAATTTTAACTGTCTAACTATCACAGTTCATGAGATACAACCTGGTATCAGCAGGACCAACATTACCCTTTGGGTAGGAAACCCTAAAAAGGGATTGGGGTTAAAAGTAAAAATCTTATATGCTTAAAAAGAAACTGGGGGAAATTATAGAGATATTATAATTATAATATATAGAAATAGGTAGTTAGTGGTCAAATTCAAAGAGATTTTCCCACGTTTTTAACTGTGCAGAAACCGAAAATATGTGTAAAAATTCATAATTTAGTACAATTCATATTGTCATTTATGTGTTAAAAAGCGCTTACCAGGCTAGCATTCCCCCTATTCCAAATCCAATCACAATGGCTGGGTTATTTGCTGAGACATCAAGGGCCATCAATAGTGCAGACAGCTCTTCGACTGCTTTGGGTGGTGCTAAGTCACTTCTATATCCGCCTTCACTACCACCAGTTCCTCTCAAATCCAATGTAATGACATGATAGCCATTTTCAGCGAGCCTCCTCACAACGGATGACCAGGACGGCACCCATAAGCTTGCAGCATCCGGTGCATCACCGAGGACAAGCACAACGTCACCAGTTTTGGGACCGGTCTCTACATAATGATATTTTACTCCCTGTAAAATTATTAAGATATTTAATCATTTAAGAAATATTTCATAAGGGAGCAAAAATTAATTTATTTTATATTGTTTATTTGTATGATTTCTGATGACTCCATGGCGCAGTTGCCAAGGTATTGGCTTTGGCGTCGTTGGTCGTGGGTTCGATTCTCACACAGGAAAACTATTTGTGTGACACAGAGATTGTTGTTTCGCACCTTGGTGTTTGCCCATGTGAATTTTTTTTTTTGTAAAACATCCTTACAGCAAAGTATAATGTTATCCTAAAGTAAGGGCAATGTATAAAAAAAACTAAACATTTTTTAATTTTTGTTTGAATGTACCAAGCAAGCTGATAGTCAAGCATTCCTAGAAAAGAAGAAGAAGAACATATAATTATATTATTTTCTCTTTATTATTACTTCAGGTGTTGCATAAATGGCCATGCTCATTTGTGGTAGTAGCACAGCCTCACATAAGAAGTGAATGTTTTAAATTTAGGCAGTTTGTCTGGTGAGTGGTAAAGTGGACACTAGATTTACCACTCACCAGACAAAATGCCTAAATTGTCATACAACTCTGTCATGCTGACAACAACCGAGTTTCTGTGAATTTGAAACTGGACTTTACACCACGAAGTTTTATGGTATGCTGTTGTATTGGAAAAATATTTAATTCATTAAATAAAACAAATCTGTACAGAATTACTTACCATAACTTTTATGTAGCAATGCACACCTATCGAAGAGTCCACGGTAAATTCAACCGGTGGAAAATTCTTTGAGGATTTTCTACGGTGCCCTCTCCATAACCTTCGAATCGCAAACTGCGTTAGTTGCCACAGTCCCAAAACCACGCACTTTATAAATAATTCTACAGCTTCCCATCCAGAAACAGCCTGCAAGACGTTATGGTATTTCGCACTCATTTTAATAATGAGGCACAGGAATGCGCCGAGGTCGTAAGGTGATCGATACGTGATGTTATTGAGTTCGGCGCATTCTTATCAAAACTTTATCTAGCTATTTTGAAGTAAACGGATTTATGAAATGCAATCTGCTTGACACTGTCATAAAACTATCTAGGGTGCGTTCATTATACTGAATAGAGATTTGTGTTAATAATTAATTTTATTATTTCACTTATAAGTGCTTCTATTAAGGAGTTATTTATTTGTTTAATTATAAAGGCCATGTAAACTGTAAAATATAATTAAAATTTTCTAGAAGTTAGATTACTTGTCGAATCAATAGGGGAAAAAATCTTTTCCAGGCAATTATATTATTATAATGCATTTCATTCATTGAACAATTTATTGATATTAAAAAAATGTTGTCATATGTTTAAATATATTCACGGTAATAGTAAGAAATGTATTAAAAAAGTGCATACTTGAAAGGTGGTTTACATTCCCAATTTTTTTTAAAGAATCTACCTTCCACTAGATGGAGTGACGACCTGTGCCTCTGAGCCGAAAGACGAAGAAATTCTGTGTCTATGTTGTATTCAGTGGACTCGAACAGGCTGAAATATTGATAAGGATTTCCTTTTACTAGATATTACCATTTAACCCTGCAAATTTTAATGATTAGGGAGGGAATGTAGTGAAAAATATGATTTGCATTGAAAAGTTTGCTTTTATTGCATACAGTATCTTTTATAACAAATAATTAAATAAAGAAGATTACTAAACATATAAAAGGAAGATATCAAAAGCACAAGATTAATAAAAGTAGTAGCCTTGTCCGTATGATTTTTTATTATTTTGATCTTCATCTTAACCCCTAAAATCTTTGAATATAAGCAGATTTGCAATAGATGGCGTTCTCAAAATTGTTGTATTTTTAAACATTTTTTAAAATATTTTGTTATTTTTTGAGCCTTTGACTTTGACTTTTAAAAGGATGAATAAATCATAAATGTAAATAGTACTATTGCCGAAGTGGCGTATCGACAAACAGACCATCGAAGTTTATTTATAATGCTACACTTCATAATATGTTAATGATATTATAAATAAATAAAGTAATAGAGAGATATAATTGATTTATTCAACTCTAGCCACGTAGTTTGTTTATGTTAAGTTATTACTTAGTTTATCTTAATAGTATTTTATAGTGATTTATGCCATATAATAAACAGTTTTTACAAAAATGGACATCATTCGAGGAAGCAAAGTGGGAGAAAATTTGAAATAGAAAATATTTTGATTCATCTCAACCATACACATCAACGAGTTATAAATAGGTGCCGAAAGCTTGAATAATTTAACGCCTCGTCATCAAAAATGGCAATGTCCCACCGTTGTAAAAATAAAAAAAAATTGCTTCTGCATTATTGTAGGCGTTAACCTGTCTGCGAATGGAGACAGGCTGAAAGCATGAGCAGATTTAAACATTGTTCGCGGTCAAGTCCACTCGTTATCCCATCGTTAGTCAACATGACTGTGCCTTTCTGCGTTTGTCATTATTCAATTCAGTTTTGAGTGCCTCGTGCGTCGATACGGCCTTAATTTATTTATAAATAAACCCTTACCTGGGCATACTTCTTACATTTAGTTGAAAGGATAAGTGTACGTGTGTCATGTATCATAATCTTTTTTGCATTATTGCATTTATCCTTTGGGTTTGACCTATTATTGTACAAGGCTGAAGCCTTGTACAATAATAGGTTATCGGTTAAAGGTTCACATTTGAGCTTGTACGTAAACTAATTTTTGAAACATATTATTATATTATCTAATATACCCCACTAGTTGTCTTTCACTAGGTAAGTTAGTTGCTTTATAAGGTTCTGGTGTGGAAAAGAATGAGTTGGGGATTTTATTAAATACAAAGAATAAGTTTCTTAATTTTAAATAGCAAAGTATCTACCAAAATGATACATTGTTCATCTACAAAGCAAACAACTTTTAATACTTAAAGACATTAGTACAGATTACTAGCCGCTGCCCGCGACTATGTCTGCGTAGAGGGGTGATAATTTAGGGTTGTATGTATTTTTGTATGCTGTATCATAAAAAAATAAAAACAATTAATTTTACATAAAAAAAAATTTAGGACAGGAAAAATTTTATTTACATTTAGGGGGATGAAAAATAGATGTCGTCCGATTTTCCACCTGGCCAATATGCACACAAAATTTCACGAAAATCGGTCAAGCCATTTCGAAGGAGTTCAATTACAAACACCGTGACACGAGAATTTTATATATTAGGTAATAAAAACATTAATTAGGTATTAATTAGCAAGTGCGTTCTTGCATGCATATAGTTACATACTTTGGTATGATATAAATTAGTTCTAATGTCCGAAAACAAACAATAACACTACTTAATAAACTGTGGCTTTGAGTTTCTTTTTTTAAAATATATATTCGTATTTGTGGAAAAGCCCTTGTAACAAATAGGCGGGGGAGTTGTCAGCCGTCGGATGTGCAGGCACGTTCCTACCCCTCTGATGACACTTGTAAGCCGATTGCGCGTCACTAACTAATATTATGTATCGGGATACATAAGGGAAACTTTGGAGATAGTCCGAAAGAGAGCACTTGTAGGGATCTCGGATTTAGAAATATGTTCGCCTTCCTAGTTGCGGGGTGCGAATTAGAGCGGGAACCGATTAAAGGCATATTATCAATTTGTTAATAGAATATAGTGCTGTATAGAAAAAAAGTTATTTATAATTTTGCTTTTAAAAAGTGACTAAATTTTTACAAAACTTCAAATAAAACGTGAAATAAATAAAAATATTTCGAAGAAATTTTGTCAATCCGCAACGAGTATGCCATAATATCGAGTGTAACAAAAAGTTTATTTTTAATTGAAATGAGATGACTTTCAAGCTACGAGCGAAGAGAGAAAAATAATTTTCTCTCATTCATGTTCATATAATTTATAGGTTTGAAATTTGGATTTTTTCAGTATCTAAAATTTTTGTGTCTTATAACAAACTAGCTGCTGCCCGCGACTACGTCTGCGTAGAATAGGCTGAAGGCGCAATATTCAGACAGAAAGATATACATAACATATATATAAATTATTGCCTATGTCTTATTCTGACGTTTAAGCTAGATTATTGTAAATTTTCATTAAAATCCATTCAGTAGTATTTGCGTGAAAGAGTAACAAACATCCATCCATACATACAAACTTTCGCCTTTATAATATTAGTAAGGATTTACAGTGGTAGAGCAACGCAGCAGTCTGCTGTCGCACGAATGGACAAGCTTGTCCTGGAAAGAGCTATGATCTTACTGAAGACCGGCGTGAAGTGGATGTTATAATATTATATAGTTATAATATTATAACATCCACTTCACTTTAGTATTATATGTTATATAAGTTTCGTTTGGTGACCCATGTAATCGAGACACACTTTATAAAAATGTTTGTCCATTGGTGGCGGTTTATACTTAAGATCGGGTGAACCGCGAGTGCGGTGGCCAATTTTTCTCATAAAAAAAAAGAAATAAGTTTTCTAACGTTGATATAAAGGCTGTTACATTATTTTCATTTAATATAAATCTAAATTCACCATAATTTGCAGCATTTCATGGTTTTAGGGCGGGTATGTTAGACGTTCGCTAGTTTATCGCTTTCAGTGTGACGCGTCTCTTGGAAATCCCGCTGTGCCGTATCTCCAGCACATGGCACGGGGGACAGAGCGCGATTGTCATGTAAATGGCGCCGTCACGGAGCCGAGGCGGGGGCATCACGTGTAGCGGACGACCGCGCGACGACTACGCGACGAGGACTCTGTGTCCACGTCGCGTAGTCGACAGAATTATGAAAAGTTTAACTGATCATTATAAGACCAAATATAGGACTTACGCCCGGTTTTAGAAACACTGATCATCGTAGACGTTAACTAATCAGCTGTCAAATGGCTTTTAAAATTTTTATTTTTTAAAAGATCAGTCTGGTCAATTCAGAGAGTTTAAACATCTTTTTGCAACTAAAGTGAAATTTGAAAAGCCATTTGACAACTGATTAGTTGACATCTACGATGATCGGTGTTTCGGAAACCGGGCGTTATCAAGTAAACACACAACGAACTCTTCGTTTGACAGACATTCGGTGTTAATTTAAAATATAATAAAAGACTTTAATCGCGCTTAAAAAGACTTTAAGACTCTCTAAGTCGATTGAAACAAAACAACTTGGTACGCCGTGACCATGGCTGCTTAAGTATTCCGAACGGCAACGTTCGACGTCCCCAACGGCTTGCGACCCGACATTGTCCCAAGTATATAGCCACATTCGGTGAGTTTGAAAGCGAACCTCCCGTCGCGTCGAGAGGGGTGGGTGGTGCGTCCCGCCCCGCGGATCGGACGCTGGATGATTAATAATTGCTCGATACCCTACGAGGCGTTATGTAACGGGCTCGATTGAAACGGGCCTCGTATCTATGTGAAAGAGGGGAAAAATAACAATCCGACAGGCTCTATCTGCGTACGCACCGCAGTCTCTTGTTCGAAAATATAATTTGACAGAAGCGGATTACTTTTTTAATATGTTTACATTTTACTATATTCATATGAGTTCGATCTATGACCACCGAACAATTTAATATCAAAGTTGTTTCATCTTTTCTTGTACATACAAATCCATTTTAACTGTAACATAATATCTATGGATTTGAACATTAGATTATTTTGATTGCAAATAAGTTAAACTTTTTTTTCAATCGAATTTTATTAGTTTTTAATAAAAAC